CCAGACGTCACCACTATGCCGTGCTAAAAGACTTCATTAAAATATAGCTAAACAATATTCTGAAGCTTAAATTTTTTTAAACCTTATCCATCTTAAAAGTAACTGCACAGTGAAATGTCATTACAGTCACGTTTCCTGCATTTCATTTTATAAAGAAACAAAGCTTGATATACAAACAAGCTTATGCAATCCCCTCCAAAAGCAGATCCAACATCTCTAATGAACACCTCAGTGGTTTTTTCAAACTTCTCAGTTAGCCAGAAATGCTTTGTGATCATGAGCTGTGCTCATACCTTAGCACAATCTACATGTTGGCCCTGCTTATACTTACATGCTCAGGCTTATCTTTAAGAAGCTGTTTTATCTTCTGAACAGCTGATGGGGTCTGAAAAAACAAAAAAGTTTACATGAATTTGAAATGTTTTTTGTTTACTTGTAGTGAGTGCTTGCACATTAATTAAAGTGTGCAATGTACCTAGCTGTGCTATTAAAAAAAAAATCTATTCCAGCTCTGTACACTCAGATTTTCTCAGTTTACAGTTGCCTCCTATCTGCAAAGTCCACCTTCAGCATCAGCCCTGCCTGCCAGTTCTGACCAGCCTGTGTTCTACTCAAAACTGACATCTGATCGGAAGGCACGCACTCTGCTGTAAAACAGATGACTGCTGTACCTAACCCACACAGAACACGACACCTCTCCACTCCCCTCCTCACCCACACTGCTGGCAAGCAGCTCACGTCCTTAACATTAGGGTGCTTGGGCATTTGGTTTTTTTTCCTCTCCACAACATCACTACCACAATCCCATTAAGTAGTTCTGCCCTTGTGAAACTTTTGTCACATAGACATTACAGACAGAAATCAGTTAGGGACAGAAGTGTTTATGGCCTACTTCTCCCTTCCCACTAACCTCAAGGGGAACTGTGACTTTACAGAAGATAAATGCACTGTTCATGCAGATTTCATTGTTGTAGAAATGCAGGAACAGGACACAAACATAAAAATTTCCAGTACATACTTGTAAGTTTCTAAGACACTGAGAAAAGGAAAAGTATTAGTTCTTACACGAAGCTCTTACTATGAGCAAGCTTAAAACACACAAAGCAAACACAAGTTAAGACTTACAGTAGAAAACCTTTTCTAGTTACTGATATTAATCTTTGTTACAGAATCGCTATTTCACAGGAATCACCCGCACTGACAAATGACGTAACTACGCGTTTAATCTGCCCCTGTTCCTGCAGGGAACCGCCTGCCCTTTCCGCTGCAGTGACCCCTCTCCCCAGCACGGCCTCCCCAGCGCTGCCGCTAGCCGCAAATGCGCTTCCTCCCTTTGCAAAAGGATACGGCGTCTCCTGGGAAACAACGTACGTACTCGTCAGCTTCTGCAGGTAACGCATGTCCTTTTTTCTTTTACATAAACACGCTTCTTCGGGTGACTGTGCAAAAAAGCGCCCTCCCCC